GGGTGCGCAGGGGCGGGAGGGGTGCGCAAAAAGAACGTTAAAAAAACCCCAACTTTCCTGTACGGAACCGGTTATGTGGGGTGGGGGAGATGGGGGGTGTGAGCAGGAGGTAAACCTGACTCGGTATGAAATGGCAAATTAGCAGGGGAACCTGAGATTTCTTGTGCATTCTGTCGAGCTGCTGGCTTACGGCTTCATCTGTAATTTTATGATATTTCAAAGAGAGGAGGAAAGAAAGTATAAAATGTACCTCATATCAGCATTTGGAGACTGCTCGACTTGTTTAGCTTTCATTTTTTGAAATCAGCACTGACATTTACTGCTAAAAAAAAAATAAAAATCACAAAATGGTCAAATGTGATTAAAACTGGAAAGCACATAAATTCAAAGATATTACAAAAAGCTTGAAAGCTTTGTTAGTCTGGAATCATGATCTTTAAGTTCAATCTCGGCAGCATGGGTTTTGGGCTGCCAGGCTGGGCCCTGGTAGCTGAGGAGGAAATCCTGATAGGAAATTGCCAGCCGACTCCCAGTCACAAGCAGGTACCACAATTTCTGTATATATCCTCGTAAATCAGATTTCTGACGCCTGTTTTGACATTCAGCACATAAACCAGGCGATAAAGCAATAAGAGTGAGGGTTCAGTGTTCAAAACTTTAATGAACTGGTGTGCTCCAAAAGACAGTCTAGGGAGAAAAGTTCCCACATATGCAAGATGTAGGTCAAAGCTTGAAGAACTCCTTTGAGATTTATGCTCTAATAGAGTCCACAAAAACGTATAATGAAGGGCAAAACCTGATTGCAGTGGGAAAGGAGGAGGAAGAATTGTCCACATCCAGGCATCCTTATTACACAGTTAAGCTCAGTGGGTTAAAATGGCCACAAACGTGAATGAAACACGGAGCCGCAACCGCTTTAAGGCAGAGTCATAACACTGCATGGAAGTATTTGATTTTCATACAGGCAAGGCACTTTCATTTCCAGGCTCCGTAACTGAGTTGAAGCTGCTCTGAAATTCAAGGCCCCGGTGAGAAAAGTCTCTTTGTGAGTGCAGGAGTTATCCCACTTCATTTGGCCCCATTGTGTTTTGTTCCTTCTCTGTTCACTTCCTCATTAACAGCTATCAACCCTTCCCAACAAAAGAAGGCTGGGAAGAAATTTGCAGTTTTATGAATATAAATGTGCATCAAAGAATGAGTATGTTTGAATCTTAGTGAGCAAACCAATAGGGGAAAGCTGTTAATTAATATAACACAGCCATAATCTCACCATTTTTGGTGTTATTTTCTATTTGCTGTGCATTCTAATAATGCATGTGCTTTTTGTCGATTATTGCAAATCAGAGCCCTGCGTTTAATTGCATGGCCTTTAATGTCACTCAGGGCTTTTTCTGAGCAGTTTCAGTTAACTTACAGTCCAGGAACATACTTGGAGTGATTACTTCTAAGTACATTACTGCGCACCCATCAGCGCTTCTCCAGCCGCTGAGCTATGGCAGTGCCCGGCTTTGCTTGGTGCCCTTTGCGAGAGCTGTTCCCGTCTCCCCTGTCCTGCCCGTGAAGCAACCTGGCTCATCAATTCCCGCAGCCCCCTTCTTCAGCAGATTCTGCTTGCAGCCTTTTTTGGATGCAGCCGCTGCACCTATCATCTGCCCGACACCTTTGATGTAAAGGAGCATGATGCCACCAACCCTTTAATCTTTGAGAGCCGAGCCTAATAATTTACAACACCATGCGGTGTCTGACTGGCAGGGGGACAGTGCAAGGGGTTGTCAACTCGTCCAGCCACGAGGATTATTCCTGGTGCTCCCTGGTGAGCGGGAGCTTGGGATCCACAGCCTGAGCCCCACTGCAGCCGGTGCCTTGGTGCCACACCAGGGGCTCGCGCGGGGACGCTGCCACCATTTGTCTTACGTGTCGGCACATCAGCTAACAACCCGCCTTGATACAGGCAGGGAGGTGTGTTTTGCAGTAAAGGCAGTAGAGGCTGTGTGATGTTTATTTAGAAAAGTGGAGATTATAAAAAGGCTGCCACAGAATTTGATCTATTTTGGCAGTAAAAAAGTCTGAAGGAAATTTTTGGATTACATCTCCCATTGCTTGAATTGGATGGGGAGGTTATAGATAACAATCAGCTGTCTCATGGACCAGATTATACTGTCTGGTAAATCTGAAGACACTCCATTGATTATAGGAGAAATTTTTATGATTTACCGGTGGTGGTGGAGGTAGCTCAGAGAAGAATCCAGCCCTGTAAATACGCCTGCTTGTGAGGCGGAGCGAGGGTGAGACGACGGGGTAGGAGAGATGCTCTATTTAGAGAAGAATCAAGGGTCATTGTAAATGACAATTAGACACCGCTCCCACAGCTCTGACAGCTGCACGGCAGCTCCGCTTTCAACCTGGAAATCCATTTCTTTTTCAAAACAAAAATGCTCAGGGAAATAACTCAGGGGAAAGGAGCTCCATCTCATCAAAGACTGTACATTAAACAAGCAGATAAAAGATTTTTCTTCCTAGGAAATGTGGTCCCTTCTCCCACTAGTAATTACAGAAGTCAAATCAAAGTTGTCATTAACATTATTTAAGAAGTAATCTCTCTTGGAGCAACACAAGTGACAGCTGTGAACTAATTTCGTGCCAATGGGATCTAATTTGAGGGAACTCTTGGGTTACTTTTCCCGTAACCTTTTATTTATTCATATTCTCGCAGTATTGTGATTTTAGCGCACAATGGGTATCTCCAACCTTACACCAACCGATCAGTTGACTTGATTTTTTTATGAGCTGTCTTTGAATTCTGAAGCAGCTTTTTACATTCTCTCAAAATACTTGAAGCCTTTTTTTTTTTCCCCTGCAAATATAAAAATTCTTATAGTATGACAGGTGAGTCATTAATTTGTGTCAAACTCCTCCACTGTGTTTTAAATAAGGATATTATGTGTTTTTCTCTGTGAATGAGGAAAAGAAAATGAGAAGCAGGGCTGCCGGAGGTCTGTTTGCAAACCTGAAAGGAAGGTGTGAAGTGCTGCGTATGACTGGGTGGGATCAGAAAGGCAGTTTGGTACCCTCTGCTCCGTACAGAAATAGTGTGAAATTCTCCAAGTGGTAGAGATGTGCATTTTTGAAGTGGAGGACTCTGTTTTTCAATCCCCTGCTCCCACCAAGCTGTGAGCCGCTAATGCATGCAGCGTATTGACAACTGCTAAGCTCCTGGGTGACCGCGGATTTGTTACAATATTCATTACCCTTTGATGCGTGCGTGTATAACCTGCTGGCCCACGTGCGTTGCTCGGCCCGCTTTGTACCTAATCCACGGAGGATATGGGTTCGCTATAGCTCTCGGCTTTGGCGTGCGGCGTGTCAGCTCAGGCTGCACTGACTCATCCTCTTAGCTTTTGAAGTCCCCTTTTCTGGCGTTGGCACTGGTTTAGGTGGCAGCTGACACAGGCAGAGTGTTTTAAATCCCTGCCCCGTGTGGCTCAGTTGACCCCAAGGCTTCCTGTGGCTGGGGAACAATATGGAAAGAATGAAGCGGAAGCTAAACTCCCATAATTTGAGTAACACGGATCTGTAAGCACCGTTCAGGTTGCTGATGCTTTCCTTTTAATCACCTTCTGTGGTTCACAATTTATGCAGCGCGAAAAGGTGCACCTTAAAAATGTGCTTGTGGCAAAATAGAGTTACAAAACCTCCAGAAGAACCAAGACGTGTCTTTGTCTGGAGAAAGTGCCTGTTGTCAGTTTGGGAGAAGACAATTCATTCTGAGCGCTTCGGGCTGTCCCGGTGGCAGGGTGACCTTTATGTGAATAAACACAGTAATTCCTTTTTGATTACAGAAAGAAGCAGCTTCATAATGGTAGCTCCCTATCTTCTGCCATCACCTAAAGCGGATGGGAACACACACCAGTCTGTCATTCTGCTGGCATGTGGATAAGCCTAAAAATTTGATCCTGTATTGCAATGATTTGATATATCCCAGCACTAGGAGTCAGAGCAGAGAGAACGACTGAGGAACGGCGTGGAGTGTCCTCCTCTTTGCTTTCCTTTAAAAATCGAGAGGCTTTTAACTTTTTGGATTTGATGGAATCGCAATTAAAAGAGAAAAGGAAAATATCACCTTCCGTTTGTTAACTATAAAAACGCAATCCAGCAGTGCTGCTGGTGCTTTGCTATTTCCCAGGTCAATAAATGGCTCCCCTGACTTTAATAAACATTGATGCTGCAGGCTTGTTCTACAGTG